TCTCATAGTCCATGAAAGAATTCATACAGGAGAGAAACCATATCAGTGCTTGGAATGTGGACAGAGTTTCACCTGGAAGGAAGGTCTCACTTCCCATCAAAGAATTCATACAGGGGAGAAACCATATCAGTGCTTGGAATGTGGAAAGAGCTTCAACCGGAAGGAAAGTCTCACTTCCCATCAAAGAATTCATACAGGGGAGAAACCATATCAGTGCTTGGAATGTGGGAAGAGCTTCAGTCGGAAATTCAATCTCACAGTCCATGAAAGAATTCATACAGGAGAGAAACCATATCAATGCTTGGAATGTGGACAGAGCTTCGGTCAGAAGACCAGTCTCATAGGCCATCAAAGATGTCACAGTGGGGAGAAACCAGACAATGGCTGTATATGAATTTAATTTTCAGAGACTTTGATTAATATGTTCCACCTGGATCCTGAGTTCCACTTCTGAAGGCCTTCTGCCAGTTCCCTGATTGTGGGAAGTGAGGTTACATGGAACAAGGCAGGGGGCCTTTTTGATAGTGTCACCCGCCTTGTGGAACTCCCTCTTTTTAGATGTTAAGAAAATAAACAACTATCTGACTTTAAGATAAGGAAGTTTTGTTTTGTTTTTTTTTTATAATATTTATTGGTTTTACAGAAAAAAATTCCAAAAGATGCAAAAATACAAAAATTCGACAAACAGAAAACAACAATAACAATAACAAAAAGCAAACAGAGATAACAATATCCATAACAAAAAAGAAAAAGGAAAAAAGAAAAAGAAACAGAAAATTTTAAAAAGTATTATACTTTCATTTAACCTTCTTATCATTACCTAATTCTTTGACTTCCCCACATCTCCCCGCTTGTATTTCCATTTAAGAACTCCTTTCAGCAAATCCTTAAGATAAGGAAGTTTTTAATGTTTGTTAGTTTTACTGTGGTTTCATGAATTGTTAGAAATAATAAAAATAATGGTAATGGCATTATAGGTCAAAACTGGCACTTTGAGTTGGGTGTGGAAGCTAATTGGCAGCCAGTTCAGTTGGGCTAGGATTATTAATGCCCGTCAAAATAGGTCGTAAACAATGTAATAAGTAGAGGTCCCTCTACTCAGGACAGCCAGAACTGGGCAGAAGACAAAAGGGATTCCTTCCTTCTGATATCTTGGAGGCTTCCTGAGAGCCCAGGTGGATGAGCCAGAGTCAGCTGGCCCAGAAGCAGGAAGAGGCCATGCCATCCAAACTGGGAGCAGTGGGGGTTGATTCCAGGCCGTGTCTAGCCCTCCTAGAAGGGAAGTGACCCTGCCAAATGTGATGGCAACCGAAGGGATTTCTGTGAGATGAGTCTGCTTGTTTGCTCCTGCCTTTTGGTGCTTTTGGTCAAGGAAGGAATTTAGAACTGTGGTTGACTGAGTACAATTTTCACACCAGGCTGAGGGGGGGGGGTTCTAATCCTGGGGTCCTCAAGAGCTGCTCTCCCTCCTACCCCAGGAAAGAGCCCCCATCACCTTGGAGTGGCCCCATGTGCCCAGGCCATTAGACCATTTCAGGTCTCGGGTGTCCAGCATTGCCCTGGCAACCTCGCCTTCAGTGAGGAAGAGCATCCGCAAATCCTCTTCCTGGGTCTCAGATAGCTTCACGGAGAGCTGATCTCCACTCTGCTGCTAAAACATCCTGCCATTTGTTCCACTTTCAGGGTCAGGTAAGGAGAGATGCAATGCAGCGTAAGGGGGGCAGATTCACAAATGCAGAACACTCAGAAACCATGCCTAATACATTCTAAAAGGTTAATGACAGTTAAAGTGGAGCATTATTGAGACAGCAAAGTCTGCTTCCTTCCTTCCCTCCCGGCCACCAGGAAGGCTGCATGATGAACCCTCACCAGTCTTGCTTGCATTCGACCATAATTTTCCTCCACTGCAGCCATCTCCCAGCTTGTTTCTTCGCCCTAACCAGGTCTAACTCTGCGCTGCAGAAGAAGCCTTTTCTTTTCTCGGTCCTCCATCTTATTTATTTATTGCGTGAGTCAGGTTTCTGTTTTCACTGTTTGTGTATTTTTATGTCTGTCTACATGCAGCCAGTCCTCAGGGCACCCCCAGGGAGGAGGAACGGGGCCTTGAGGGCATGGGGCCAATGGAGCCTCGTTCTTTCGGGGCTCACTTGTGGGGCGATGGCTGTGCCAGTGGGCAGGCTGCCCCACTTGGCTCTGTCAGGGTGGCCGCCAATAATTCAAGCTACAGCCATCGTCGTCTTCTGTTGTGATGGTGAGTTCCAGCGCTCCAATGTTCTTCAGTTAGAAGGAAAGTTTTCCTCACCATCCACCACTCCTTCATCCGACATGGTTTTCGCCAGACTTTGACACATGTACACCCGTTCAGACATGCAGCCTCTCAGGTGTCCAAATGATCTTCTGAGACTGACCAGAAAGCCTTGCTGATAACTCTTGGAAGTCTCCCCACCCAAGGAATCCAAGCCCTGCTGGGAGGGAGGGAACCTTGGGAGGGATGGGGGTGAAAGAGGCAGCCCCCCCTCCAGTGCTGAGAGTTATTGGGAGACCCTCTTCCCACCAGCTGTAATTCCCCGAGGTCCCTGGCAAAAGGAGATTATTAAAGCGCACTTGGAGGGTGTCTCCTAGCAGCTTTCAGCATCCTTAAGAAAGCACAGATCCCAGGATTCTTAGGAATCTAAAGTGGGTTGATCCTGCTTTGCAGATGCAGAGCAGGTGGGGACCTGGGAGTGTGTGTTGTCTTTTTCCTTCCTTTTTGGAATTCTGGTTTATTGGGTTTTATAAGCAAGGCTCACAGGAGGAAGAAAGGATACAAATAAATAGACCGCGTGTTCTCTTGTCATCTGTGCATCACAAAAACCACACAATAAGTTCATGGGAATGTCTACAACAGCTGGATCATTCTTAGGGTACGAGTTCTGGGTTCATGAATCGGTTGACTCAAAACCAGGAAAGGGGGAAAGGGGAGAGCAGAGTCAACAGGTCGCCCCACGCCTAGTCCGGAAGGGGTTTCCCCCCCATCGCCCCCTGCTCCCCCTCTTGAAGGCAGGGCCTCTTCCCCTGCAGGGCCAGCCGAGTCGGGCTCATCCATCGGGCTCTCAGGAAGCCGCCAAGGGACGGGAAGGGAGCCCGGGGTCCTCGGCCCCCTTCGGGCCCCCTCCCGCCAAAGAAAGCTCTCTGCAAAGGGCGGGGCTCCTCCCGGATCCTGCATTTCCGCTTTGCAAGGGTTGCCGGGAAGTGAGCGGGACTCCGGGAGAGTAGAGGAAAGGAAGGAGGGGGTGGGACCAGGTCCTCCCCCCCCCGCAAGGCCCCTCCCCTCCCTGCCGTCATTTCCTGCAAGCGGGGGAAGCGGGGGGAGGGTTCGCCGGCAAGGGGGCGCCTCCCGGGATGCGGTGAGCCTCCTCTCCCCCCCACCCCCTTGGGAGAAAGGGGTCCCAGGGCTGCAGCGGGGGGGTGCATGGGGGGGTCAGGGAGGGGGCGAGCTGGCCACGGGGGTCTCCCTTGGGAAAGATGGGCAGAGCTGGCAGCCAGGGGGAAAGATTCTCAGCAGCTCCCCTTCCCAGACTTCGGGGTCCTGGGGGTCCTGGGGTCAGAGTCCTTGGGAAAGAGGGGCAGGGGCCAGGGGGGCCTCTGGGGGGAGGGTATGCCCCAGCCCAGGAACTCCCACCAGGATGCCCTTTCTGGGGCCCCCCAAACACAAGAGGACCCCTCTGCCAGCCTCCCCACCCCAGAGGGTCTGAAGGGAAGGAGGCGCTTCTTCAGATTGGGGGGGGGTCTAAGTGAACCCTCAGGGGAGCCCCTTCAATAGAATGGACAACCAATGCAGCTGTTTTAAAACCGGAATACAGTGGAACCCCGGGTTACATACGCTTCAGGTTACAGACTCCGCTAACCCAGAAATAGTACCTCGGATTAAGAACTTTGCTTCAGGATGAGAAGAGAAATCGTGCTCCGGCAGCGCGGCAGCAGCAGGAGGCCCCATTAGCTAAAGTGGTGCTTCAGGTTAAGAACAGTTTCAGGAGGTCCGGAACGAATTAAGAACTTAACCCGAGGTACCACCGTATTGGGATGCTGGTGATATACTGTATTATGATGTTGAAAAGCAGGCATCGTCCGGCCCTAAAAAAGATGCCAGACTAATTAGAAAAGGTACTTGATGATGCCGTCAATATTATTTTATAAAAAACACCTTGAACTTTGAATTATAGGATTTTAATAAAATAAGAATGATAATAATATCAATTTTATACAAGAAAGACGTATTCCTTTGTAGGATTTGCTAGCCGCTTTAATAAGGACAGACAGAACTTAGAAGAAGGCCAAGGGGTTCCTTCCGATTTCTTGGAGGCTTCCTGAGAACACAGATGGATGAGCAAGACTCAGCCGGCCCTGAAGCAGGAAGGGGTCATGCCATCAACACTGGGAGCAGTGAAGGATTCTGGGAAAGCTCTGTGCGGAAGATCCTGGGTGAGGAGGACACCCTCCACTCTGATATGAAGAGCCAGCAGTTCAGGCAGTTCTGCTACCAGGAGGCCAAAGGACCCCGAGAAGTTTGCAGCCGGCTCCACCACCTTTGCCATCAGTGGCTGAAGCCAGAAAGGCACACGAAAGCTCAGATGCTGGACCTGGTGGTCTTGGAGCAGTTCCTGGCTGTCCTTCCGCCACAGATGGAGATCTGGGTGAGGGAGTGTGGAGCGGAGACCAGTTCCCAGGCGGTGGCCCTGGCTGAAGGTTTCCTCCTGAGTCAGGCAGAGGAGAGAAAGCAGGCAGAGAGAAAGCAGGTGAGAGAGACTGTCCTCTGGATACTCCAAAGGGGGTCTGAACAGGAGGGAGAGTATCCTGAAATCCTCTACTAAGCTTTTGGAAAGCATCCCCAAATGGTTTTCCCTTTGCCATTCCTTTTCTAATATTTCTCTCCATCCTCTGTTCTGAATCCCTGTTGCTCTTTCAGGGAAAGATTATCTTTGCAGAAATGGGTCTGGATTCCTCTGAGGCAGAGAAGACTCCGTTGGTCAGGTGAGAGAGGCCGCTGGGTAAGGAGGAAGGAGCTGTTTCTCCGTGGGGTCGCATTGTATGGAGTTGGGAGCTCATCTGTGGGTTGTTTTCATCTTTTGGGGAAGACACTTGGGGCCAAGAGAAGGCCCTCTGCCTGGTTCTCTGTAGCTTTACTCCTCGCAGTGAGGGAACTGCCAGAAGGCCCTTGGAGCTGGACCTCAGTGTCCGGGCTGAACGATTGGTGTGGAGACGCTCCTTCAGGTCTACAGGGCCGAGGCTGTTTAGGGCTTCAAAGGTCAATACCAACATGTTGAATTGTGCTTGGAAACATACTAGGAGCCAGTGTAGGTCTTTCAGGGCCAGTGATATATGGTCCCAGCAGCTGCTTCCAGTCACCAGTCTGGTAGCCTCATTCTGTATTAGTTTCTGAGTCCCCTTCAAAGGTACCCACGCATAGAGCGCACCATCTGTAGTTAGAGGTGCACTGCTTCACCTCGAAGAAAAGCATGTGCTAATGGCCTGCCACCTCCCTTTGTCTCTCACAGGTGACAGAATGATGCTGGCAAGACCTCTTCTTCCATCTTTGCATGGAGGCAGAGGAGAAACATCAGCTCTGGAACCAGATCAGGTAGGGAGAAGAAACATTGCGGGGAAAGAGGCGCCTGCTCGTGACTTTGTAGGATATGAAACCCAAGAGCAGTCAAGTACAACATTCCTAGAATGAACATGTTTACACATGGGGAGGAATGTTTGTCCAGCCAGCAGGTAAACTTCCTGTTTCCTTCTGGACTGGGACAGACTTCCTCTGCATGTGACCAGAGGTGGGTGTGGCCTCACGTGCAGGTACCGACAAAAGCACAGGGCAGGGCAGCCATCTCTCTATGACTACCTTCATCGAAGAAACAACGTCTGCTTAGCCAAAGATGCCCTCTTGCCTTCCAGCCAAGAGAGGACAAAGGGACTGTCTTCTTATGAGATAGTTTCCAGGTGCATGTTACTTCATTAAGCTAAGTCTGCCTTCTGGGATCTGAATGTGAGCAAACTCTTTTTATACTTTTGTAGAAGACTGTGTCATGTCTTATCTTTTATGAGGGAATAAGGGAAAATACCAGAACAGTTATTATACAGGCTTTAGCGAGCCTGAGCAAACGGATCCTCTGCAAAGTTTAAAAATAAGGGGAATGTTAACACAAGTTAGATAAGGATATAATCAGACAATATATCCTTTCCTGCATCCCTGAACATTCCCACAGACTTCTGTCAAAATTGTCCTTAACAAAGGCTGTAAAGGCCACTCCAGAAGGTTAAGTTCAGAGAATGATTAACAATCACCTCACGTTCACTAGCCTTCTGAATGATGCTAGTATTATCTATCAGTAGCTTCAGTTTTATTTACCAATTTAACATTTAATACTAAGATAGGCTTCTCAACAGCTGACAAACCATAAAAAAGAGTGGCCAGAATTCACCCAACGAGTCCCATCAGTTGCACTATAGGGCTTTCCCCCTCCTTCCCCTCCCTGTGACCCCCTGCAACCCTGAAGTTGGCTGTAGGGCATGGTGAAGGTTTCCCCCTCCAGAACAGTAGAGGGGGAGAGGAAAGGGGGGAATGTTCAGCAGAGAGAATGATCTGAAAAACACCAGGTGGAGTTCCACCCATTTACACAAAGATGAATACCCATCATTAAAATACACAATAAAACAATTCCATTAAGAGGTTAAAACGTGCATCCATAATTATAATGTACAGCCAAACAATCCCATTAAAACCATACAGCAACAAACAGACACAAAACAGCAGCACAATGTGTAGAAGATGATCTTTCTGCTGTCTGAGAGCAAGACTTTTCTCTTCTTCTTTTAGGGCCTAGTATGTTTTGAAGATATAGCTGTTCATTTTGCAGACGAGGAGTGGGCGTTGCTGGATCCTGACCAGAGAGCTCTGCATAAGGAAGTCATGGAGGAGAATTGTGGGATCATGAACTCTCTCAGTAAGGCTCCCTGTTGGATCATATCTCTTTCGGAATTTAAGATCCCTTGGGAAGAATCTGGGAGAGGAGGAGACTTAGTTGTGGGAAGGCAGGGCCTTCAGTCCCCACAACTGGCTCATAGGGGCCAGACCCAGAGGGAAGTATTGCTGTGCTCACTAGGCCTGACACTTCTGAGCAGCCTGTTGCTTCTCATAAGGAGTTAACTTCACTTACTCCGTGTGATTTATTGCTGCCCCACTCCTGACACTCAGGTTCCCATACATATGTTCATTAATGCCTGTCAACAAAAGCAGTGAAGCCTGTTTTAAGGCCTTACTTTTAATTCCCTTCAGTTCTTCCTGTATCCCAAGCATTAATTAGCAAAGTTCAATAACCGAAGGCTGCGTTTCTCCTTGAGGCTGTGATCCATTTCTTTCTTTGTTGCAGATGGTGATGAATCAGAGATTAAGAACCAGGGAGACCATGACCATGTCTACACCATAGAGAAGCAATGTAAATATTCTGAGTGTAGAGAGAACTTCAGTCAAAGCTCCCTCCGAAGAAATCCATTGGGGAAGAAATCCTATCAATGCCTGGAATGTGCGAAGAGCTTCAGTTGGAAAGAGAGTCTCACTTCCCATCAAAGAATTCATACAGGGGAGAAACCATATCAGTGCTTGGAATGTGGAAAGAGTTTCACCTGGAAGGAAAGTCTCACTTCCCATCAAACAATTCATACAGGGAAGAAACCATATCAGTGCATGGAATGTGAAAAGAGTTTCACCTGGAAGAAAAGTCTCACTTCCCATCAAATAATTCATACAGGGGAGAAACCATATCAGTGTATGGAATGTGGGAAGAGCTTTACCCAGAAAAAAAGTTTCAAAGCTCATCAAAGAATTCATACAGGGGAGAAACCATATCAGTGTTTGGAATGTGGGAATAGTTTCAGTTGGAAAGATAGTCTCACTTCCCATGAAAGAATTCATACAGGGGAGAAACCATATAACTGCAAGGAATGTGGACAGAGCTTCGCCTGGAAGAAAAGTTTAATAGACCATCAATGGATTCATACAGGGGAGAAGCCATATCAGTGTTTGGAATGTGGGAAGAGGTTTCATAAAAGTGCCCATCTCACGACACATCAAAGAATTCATACAGGGGAGAAGCCATATCAGTGCATGGAATGTGGGAAGAGTTTCAGTTGGAAAGATGGTCTCACTTCCCATGAAAGAATTCATACAGTGGAAAAATCATATACGTGTTTAGAATGTGGGAAGAGTTTCAGTCAGAAAAAGAGTCTCATGGCCCATCAAAGAATTCATACAGGGGAGAAGCCATATCAGTGCATGAAATGTGGGAAGAGTTTCAGTCAGAAAAAGGTTCTCACTTCCCATCAAAGAATTCATACAGGGGAGAAACCATATCAGTGCTTGGAATGTGGGAAGAGCTTTACCCAGAAAAAAAGTTTCAAAGCCCATCAAAGAATTCATACAGGGGAGAAACCATATCAGTGCTTGGAATGTGCGAAGAGCTTCAGTCGGAAAGAGAGTCTCACTTCCCACAAAAGAATTCATACAGGGGAGAAACCATATCAGTGCTTGGAATGTGGGAAGAGCTTCAATCGGAAGTTCCATCTCACAGTCCATGAAAGAATCCATACAGGGGAGAAGCCATATCAGTGTATGGAATGTGGGAAGAGTTTCAGTCGGAAAAAGGTTCTCACAACACATCAAAGAATTCATACAGGGGAGAAACCATATCAGTGCTTGGAATGTGGGAAGAGCTTCAATCGGAAGTTCAATCTCACAGTCCATGAAAGAATTCATACAGGAGAGAAACCATATCAATGCTTGGAATGTGGACAGAGCTTCGGTCAGAAGACCAGTCTTATAGGCCATCAACGATGGCACAGTGGGGAGAAACCAGACAATGGCTGTATATGAATTTAATTTTCAGAGACTTTGATTAATATGTTCAACGTGGACCCTGAGTTCCACTTCTGAAGGCCTTCTGCCAGTTCCCTGATTGTGAGAAGTGAGGTTACATGGAACAAGGCAGGGGGCCTTTTTGATAGTGTCACCCGCCTTGTGGAACTCCCTCTTGTTAGATGTTAAGAAAATAAATAACTATCTGACTTTAAGATAAGGAAGTTTTTAATGTTTTTAGTTTAACTGTGGTTTCATGAATCATTAAAAATAATAACAATAATGGTAATGGCTTTATAGGTCAAAACTAGCACTTTGAATTGGGTGTGGAAGCTAATTGGCAGCCAGTTCAGTTGGGCTAGGATTATTAATGCCCGTCAAAATAGGTCGTAAACAATGTAATAAGTAGAGGTCCCTCTACTCAGGACAGCCAGAACTGGGCAGAAGACAAAAGGGATTCCTTCCTTCCGATCTCTTGGAGGCTTCCTGAGAGCCCAGGTGGATGAGCCAGACTCAGCTGGCCCAGAAGCAGGAAGAGGCCATGCCATCCAAACTGGGAGCAGTGGGGGTTGATTCCAGGCCGTGTCTAGCCCTCCTAGAAGGGAAGTGACCCTGCCAAATGTGATGGCAACCGAAGGGATTTCTGTGAGATGAATCTGCCTGTTTGCTCCTGCCTTTTGGTGCTTTTGGTCAAGGAAGGAATTTAGCTCTTTTTCCCCCCCTCTTTTTTTTAATTAATATTTATTAAAGTTTCAGAAATAATAAAATCACATTAATAAACAAGAAAATTTTAACAAAAACAGAGAAAAATACACCATACAAAATAGAAAATAGAAAAAAGTAAAGAAAGAAAAAAAAGAAAAAGAAAAAAAACAGTTAAAAATAATTCCGTCTTTTCGTAACTTCTTTTACATTTACTTGTTTCCCGGACTTCCTCATACCTCCCTCTTTTGTATTCCAATTCAGTTTGTAAGCCCAGCAATTTCTTTCCCTCCCTTTTAATTCCAATCCTGAATCTTAGTATAGTATGACATTAGATTTTTACCTATTTAGAACCAATTTTTCCATTTCTCTTAACCTTTGATCCTAATCCTTAATCTTGATATATTTATAGCTTTAAAACCTGTACAGCTAGAAGCCACTTAACTTCAATCCAACATCACTCTAACATTCATTAATTTTGCAATGTTTCTGTAAATAATCTTTAAATTTCTTCCAATCTTCTTCCACCGACTCTTCTCCCTGGTCACGGATTCTGCCAGTCATTTCCGCCAATTCCATGTAGTCCATCATTTTCATCTGCCATTCCTCCAGTGTGGGTAGCTCTTGTGTCTTCCAATACTTTGCGATGAGTATTCTTGCTGCTGTTGTAGCATACATAAAGAAAGTTCTGTCCTTTTTTAACACCGATTGGCCGACTATGCCCAGGAGAAAGGCCTCTGGTTTCTTCAAGAAGGTATATTTAAATACCTTTTTTAATTCATTATATATCATCTCCCAGAAAGCCTTAATCTTTGGGCACGTCCACCAAAGGTGGAAAAATGTACCTTCAGTTTCTTTACATTTCCAACATTTATTATCGGGCAAATGATAGATTTTTGCAAGCTTGACTGGGGTCATGTACCACCTGTATATCATTTTCATAATATTCTCTCTTAGGGCATTACATGCCGTGAACTTCATACCTGTGGTCCATAACTGTTCCCAGTCAGCAAACATAATATTATGTCCAACATCTTGTGCCCATTTAATCATAGCAGATTTCACCGTTTCATCCTGAGTATTCCATTTCAGCAGCAAGTTATACATTCTTGACAAATTCTTAGTTTTGGGTTCTAACAGTTCTGTTTCTAATTTTGATTTTTCCACCTGGAAGCCAATTTTTTTGTCCAAATTGTATGCCTCCATTATCTGATAATAATGAAGCCAGTCTCGCACTTTATTTTTTAGTTTTTCAAAACTCTGCAGTTTCAATCTATCACCATCTTGTTCTAAAATTTCCCAATATTTCGGCAATTTGACCTCCATATTGAGCTTTTTCAGGGCTTTCGCTTCCATCGGTGACAGCCACCTTGGGGTTTTATTTTCCAATAAGTCCTTATATCTTATCCAAACATTAAATAAAGCTTTCCTGACAATATGATTTTTAAATGCTTTATGTGCTTTGACCTTATCATACCACAAGTATGCATGCCATCCAAATACATTATTAAAACCTTCTAAATCCAAAATGTCAGTGTTTTCAAGAAGCAGCCATTCTTTCAACCAGCAAAAAGCTGCTGATTCATAATAAATTTAAGGTCTGGCAGGGCAAATCCACCTCTCTCCTTTACATCTGTTAGTATTTTAAATTTTATTCTGGGCTTCTTGCCCTGCCAGACAAATCTAGAAATATCTCTCTGCCACCTCTTGAAACAGTCCATTTTGTCCACAATTTGCAATGTTTGAAACAAAAACAGCATTCTAGGCAATACATTCATTTTTACCGCAGCAATATGGCCCAGCAGTGAAAGCTTCAAATTTGACCAGATTTCTAAATCTTTTTTCACTTCAGCCCAACATTTTTCATAGTTATCTTTAAATAAATTCCCATTTTTTGCTGTCATGTTAATCCCCAGTCATGTTAATCCCCAGTCATGTTAATCCCCAGATTAACATCACGGAGAGCTGATTTCCACTCTGCTGCTAAAACATCCTGCCATTTGTTCCACTTTCAGGGTCAGGTAAGGAGAGATGCAATGCAGCGTAAGGGGGGCAGATTCACAAATGCAGAACACTCAGAAACCATGCCTAATACATTCTAAAAGGTTAATGACAGTTAAAGTGGAGCATTATTGAGACAGCAAAGTCTGCTTCCTTGCTTCCCTCCCGGCCACCAGGAAGGCTCCATGATGAACCCTCACCAGTCTTGCTTGCATTCGACCATAATTTTCCTCCACTGCAGCCATCTCCCAGCTTGTTTCTTCGCCCTAACCAGGTCTAACTCTGCGCTGCAGAAGAAGCCTTTTCTTTTCTCGGTCCTCCATCTTATTTATTTATTGCGTGAGTCAGGTTTCTGTTTTCACTGTTTGTGTATTTTTATGTCTGTCTACATGCAGCCAGTCCTCAGGGCACCCCCAGGGAGGAGGAACGGGGCCTTGAGGGCATGGGGCCAATGGAGCTCGTTCTTTCGGGGCTCACTTGTGGGGCGATGGCTGTGCCAGTGGGCAGGCTGCCCCACTTGGCTCTGTCAGGGTGGCCGCCAATAATTCAAGCTACACTGCTGTCCTGACCCAGAGGTCCCCTCCGCAAAGTGGATGAAAGGAAACCTACCTTGAACCTTTCCTGGCTTTGCAGAGAGGAAGGGGGCAGGACCCTCTGCTCCCTGACTTCAGGGTCCCCCCATGCATGGGCAAAACACATACCCTCCAACATCTCACTGATTCAAATAGGGAACCTGTGCCCTAGCCACTCTAGGCAGCTTCCAACATATATGAAAACATCATAAAACGTTAAACAAAAAAGCTTCTCTATGCAGGATTGCCTTCAGACGGCTTGGGGGTTGGATAGCTCCATCTCCCTCCAACACATCTCCAATGAAAACAGGGACGTCCTAAGGGAAAATGGCTCCTGCCAGCCTAGCAGTTCGAAAGCACGTCAAAGTGCAAGTAGATAAATAGGTACCGCTCTGGCGGGAAGGTAAACGGCGTTTCCGTACTGCTCTGGTTCGCCAGAGGCGGCTTAGTCAAGCTGGCCACGTGACCCGGAAGCTGTACGCTGGCTCCCTCGGCCAATAAAGCGAGATGAGCGCCGCCACCCCAGAGTCGGCCACGACTGGACCTAATAGTCAGGCGTCCCTTTACCTTTAACAGAAAATGGGGCATTCCGGGATAGAATCAGAAACCAGGACAGCTTCTCTAAATCAGGGACAGCCTTGGAAGATAGGGGCACTTGGAGGGTGTGTGAACAGGCCCTGCATGCACACACCCCTAGTGCCCTGGGACTCCCCCTTCTCCCCAATGAAGAAGAAGAAGAAGAAGAAGAAGACCTAGGCCACCCATCTCTTCCTCTGGAAAGCAGGAGTTCCAGAGGAGCCCAGAGCATCGCGCACAGCCGGAGATGCTTTATTTTGAGGGACCCTCCTGGCTGGCCTCCGAGCTGCTCCCTCCCTTGGCCAGGAACAGGAGGAGGAGCTGGTCGGGGAAAAGGCTCCGGAAGAAGTAGGCAACCCCATCCTAGAGGGAGAGGGTTGGAAGAGGAGGGGGGGGGAATCCTCTTTGGCATTATGAATAGCCATAGAACAAAAGCTCTGGTGCAGAGCATTAATCTCTTCCATCTCTTCCCAGACAGAAGGTTCTAGGGGTTGCGCCAACCTTGTGGGGTAGGACTATTGTGGAGCTAGAAAACCTTTGTTGAGCATCTGATATCTGGCTATGAAACCTCACCCGTCTCCTCAGGGGAACCTCCAAGGAAGCAAAATCCACCACCATCTTACCACCAGAAAGTTCTTCCTGATAAAAAAATTCCTTGCAGTAGCACCTTAGAGACCATCTACGTTTGTTATTGGTATGAGCTTTCGTGTGTATCTGAGGAAGTGCATGCACACGAAAGCTCATACCAGTAACAAACTTAGTTGCTCTCTAAGGTGCTACTGGAAGGAATTTTTTTATTTTGTTTTGACTACGGCAGACCAACACGGCTACCTACCTCTAACTTCTTCCTGATATTTAGTCACAATCTCCTTTCTTGTAACTTGAGGCCATGGGTTCGGGTCCTGCCCTCCGGAGCAGCAGAAAACAAGCTTGCTCCATCTTCCATGAGACAGCCCTTGAGATATTGGGAGGTGGCGTCCACATATTTCATTCTGCCAGATCTCAGTGAGGAGTAAGAAGACAAATAGTTCCTGCTTTTTTGTCACCGAAGATGGGGGACGCTACATCTACCCCAGTAAATATTCATATTGATTTTTAGTTGTATTTTAGTTCCTTCTCTTATCCAGCATATTATATTGCATTGTACTTTGAATTTTGTGGAATATGAAAAACTACAATGTGTAAGATATAAAAGGAGCAATAAAAAAATACAATTAAATATCATGCAGTCTCTAGCCTCTAGGGCCTGGGGCTGATAACATTGAGGTCGTGGGTTCTGGGACAGCTGCATATTTCTGCATTGCAGGGGTTTGGACTAAATCTTCAGAGCCCCTTCCCACTCTACAATTCTGGGATTCTGCCACAAAAGCTACAATAAACTGAATGAAAACATTAAGTGGCCAGAAATTTTCAAGCGGCTTGTGGTGGGGGGAGTTTGGAAACCCCTGCCATAAGCTGTGCTGAGGACTTGGGCTGAGAAGTGGCATGCACACCTCCTTACACATCTGTCCAGTTGTGGGCCAGCATGGTCTGGGATCCGTATGAGTCCAATGGGCACCTGGAGAGGAGGTTGCTCCAAGGAGACACCAGCAGGGTCCCAGAGGTGAGGGGAGAGACTTTGTCAGGTAAGGCCTCCTTCCACCTGCCTTGCTCCACCCTCTAGTTTCTGCTTCTCAATTTGTATTGTATTATTTTATGTACTGTGGCTTGCCATTGTCTTATTGATTATAGTTTAGAAATTAGTGTAACTGTTGAGTGGATTTCTGTTTAACTTTTATTGTTGTCGTTTAGTCGTGTCCGACTCTTCGTGACCCCCTGGACCAGAGCACGCCAGGCACTCCTGTCTTCCACTGTCTCCCGCAGTTGGGTCAAACTCATGCTGGTAGCTTCAAGAACACTGTCCAACCATCTCGTCCTCCGTCGTCCCCTTCTCCTTGTGCCCTCCATCTTTCCCAACATCAGGGTCTTTTCCAGGGAGTCTTCTCTGCTCATGAAGTAGCCAAAGTACTGGAGCCTTAGCTTCAGGATCTGTCCTTCCAGTGAGCGCTCAGGGCTGATTTCCTTAAGAATGGATAGGTTTGATCTTCTTGCGGTCCATGGAACTCTCAAGAGTCTCCTCCAGCACCAGAATTCAAAAGCATCAATTCTTCGGCGATCAGCCTTCTTTATGGTCCAGCTCTCACTTCCATCACTACTGGGAAAAACCATAGCTTTAACTATACAGACCTTTGTCAGCAAGGTGATGTCTCTGCTCTTTAACTTTTATATGTTGATATTATTATTTTATACTATTCTAATGATCATTGAATGTTACTTTTTTGATGTAGGTTGCTTATTTTACAGTTTTGTTTTATTGTCACGTTTTTGCATTGCATTAGATTGTTATAAGATGTACATTTTTTGTTTCTTCAGCTTGTAAACCACCTTGAGTACTGTAAGATAGAAAGACAGTATACAAATTAAAAATGAGGGTGGTGCTGATGCTGAAGGTGCCCTCCTTGCGGAAGCTCAGCAGGTCGATGGTGACAGTTTGCAAACTGGTGTTCCAAATTGCAGAGAGGGTTTCCTTGCTCCTTGCCCTCCACCTCTCTTATTCTAGGACGGCGATTCCTGCTCCTTGCACAGATTTCCCCCACTGCCAGCTGCTCCTGTTTCTGGCCAAGGGAGGGGGCAGCTCAGAGCCCAGCCAGGAGGGGCCCCCCCCCAAATAAAGCCTCTCCTCCGAGTGTGCGCAATGCACAGTTCTGCTTCGGAGAGAGGAAGAAGAGGGGTGAGCTTGGTGCCCCCGGCTTGCCAAGGGTTAAAAGGAGCCGAGCTGGATTACTAGAGAGGAGAGGAAATAAAGGCGGGGGGGGGGCAGGTCCTTCGGAGCAAAAGCACCTCCTTGCAAAGCCCGTCCCTGCAAAGGGAGGCTGGTGCTTTTTGTCTTGTCTGCGGCGCAAGCGCTGCCTCCGTGGCGCATTCCGGGACCTGGTGAGTCTGGGGGAGAAGCGGGGGCGGGGGGTCCCAGGGCTGCAGGGGAACGAGGCATGGGGGGGCTGTTCAGCTGAGGCAATGGGGGGCCCCCCAAGTCAGGAAGCAGAGGGTCCTCCCCGTTTCCTCTCTGCAAAGATAGGGAGGGGGCGAGTGTGCAGGAGCTCTGCAACTATGTTCTTCCACGGTGGCAAGACGCTGCCATTTTGGGGAGAACATAATGGAATGCAGATAAGCCCATTTCAGATTTGTGAATCAGTCACACTTGTCAGCGGGGGTTGTAGCCAGACGGAAACAGTCGGGCATAAAAGATACGCAGAACAACAACCATGAAAGCCTGACGTTTGCCATCCGATGTTGGAAAGTCGAGGGCAGACAAAAGAAAGAGCTGCGTCATGGGGCAAAGAGTTAAACCGAGGGAACTCCCTCCCACAGGAGGATGGGATGGGCACCAATCCAGATGGCTTTCCAAAGAGGAGGAGGAGGGATGCAGGGGGGAGGAGGAGAGGGATGTGGGTGGCAGTTCTGTGCGTCCCAGAGTGACGCATCTTCGCCAGGATGGAGATTCTCTGCATCTGCTGGTAGTTGCTGCTACCAAAGTGATGGAGGAGATATTAAAATACAGTAATACATCAAACATTAAAAGCTTCCCTAAACAGGGCTGCCTTCAGATGTCTTCTAAAAGTCAGGTAGTTGTTCTCTTTGACATCTGATGGGAGGGTGTTCCACAGGGCGGGTGCCACTACGGAGAAGGCCCTCTGCCTGGTCCCCTGTAACTTGGCTTCTCGCAGTGAAAGAACCGCCAGAAGGCCCTCAGCGCTGGACCTCAGTTCAGATGCTTCTGAACTCCAGTTGCTGGAAAACCACAGGCAGGGAGAAAGTTGCTCTTGCACTCGGATCTTGCTGGGGTGCTTCCTGGAAGAGGCCCCTGTAAGAACAGGAGTGGGGACTCAATAGGAAGTCCCATTGGCCTGATCCTGCAGGACTCTCTGATGCTGAGTTCCTCCAGATACAAGCCAACCCTCTGTTGTCCTTCAGTTAGAAGGAAAGCTTTCCCCACCACCCATTCATCCCACAGGGGTCTTCTCCAGACTTTGACACATGCAGCCTTTCAGGTGTCCCCAGGATCTTTGGAGGCTGAACAGAAAGCCCTGCTGAGAAACCCTGGAGGTCTCCCCATCCAAGGAATCCAAGGCAGGAGAGGAAAGGAACCTGAGATGGGGGTGAAAGAGGCAGCCTCCTCCCATTGCTGTAGTTACTGGGAGACCCTCTCCCCACCAGGTATAGCTCCCTGAATTCCCTGGCACAAAGGACAGATTATTAAAGTGCACTTGGAGGGTGTCTCCTAGCAGCTCTCAGCATCCTTAAGAAACTACAGATCCAAGGATTCTTAGGTAGGAGGAAGCCAATGCTCTCTAAAGTGGGATAATCGTGCTTTGCAGATGCAGAGCAGGTGGGGACCTGGGAGTGTGTGTTGTCTTTTTCCTTCCTTTTTGGAATACTGGCTTATTGGGTTTTATAAACAAGGCTCACAGGAGGAATAAAGGATACAAATAAATAGACTGAGTGTTCTCTTGTCATCTGTGCATCACAAAAACCACACAATAAGTTCATGGGAATGTCTACAACAGCTGGATCATTATTAGTGTACGAGTTCCTGGTTCATGAATTAGTTGAATCAAAACCAGAAAGGGGGGAAACGGGAGAGAGCAGAGTTAACAGGTCACAGTCCACATTTCCTGGCCGAACGCCTAGTCAGGAGCCCTTGGAGTTAGTTGTGCTTAGGTCAAGTGTGAGGCAGAGTTGTTTTTTTATTTTATGTTACCAATAAAACAATGTAAGGTGCAGATCAACCACACTGAGCCAAATGGTGTTTCTGGAGGCAGACATCCTGGATTTAGAAGGTCATGACTTAAAATTCGGCTGGCCTGCATGTCTTTGGTATGGGAAGGCGAAAATTTATAAAAGTTTTATTAACTATATCCTTAGGAAGAATCGGTATAGAGTTAGGGAGAAATATAAAAATCTGCTGGAAAGGAAAACATCTTTATGGCTCTCTCCTATTGGGGCTGTTACAATTAAGAGAGTTAATATGGACAGACAACGGGCAACTTACAGGGAACTGCTACACTTTACAGAGGGGGAACCTAAACTGAAATCAATGGTAAGTGTAAGGAGCCATGTGACAGATTGGCTACAATATCATCAGTTATACGAAATGTTTAGAACAGACAGGAAAAAATGTTTTTTGGACCAAAGCTCACGCTTTGAAAAAGAACTTTTACAAAACGAAGAAAAACTCTTATCTAAAATGTACAATCTGTTATTAGATTGGGAAACAAAAGACGAGCTTGTTAAAGCTTCCTTGACACCCTGGGCAGTAGATATAGGACATAATATAGATTTGAATCTCTGGGAAAAACTATGGAAGAGCGATTTGAAGTTTACAGCATGTTATTCCTTGAAAGAAAACTCCCTGAAAATGATTCACAGATGGTATGTAACTGCGTAGACTTGCTAAGATGTACAAGACTGAATCAGCTAAGTGATGGAGATCTAATGAGGCTGAGGGTACGTTCCATCATATGTGGTGGACTTGTAAAAGAGTATTGGGAAATAATTTATAATGAATTGAAAAAATGTCTGGGGGTTTTTTTTGGGGGGGGGGTTGGAAAAGTACTTTTAGAGCCCTTTTTGTTGGGGATAATTCAGATGGAAATTCCCAGGTGTCAAAAAAGGTTATTTATGTATGCTACTTTTGCCACCCGTGTTTTGTTAGCCCCAAAATGGAAAACTAGTGACGTCCCAACCAAAGAAGAATGGCAACTCAAGTTGACGGAATATGCCCAGCTTGCAGACTTATAGAATAAGAGAACAAGAAGAATACTGTATACATTTAGAGAAGACTGGAATATATGGGGGGAAATTGTGTAAACTTGAAAACGCTGGCAGCATTAAGATAAATTGAACAGTGTAAATAAGTTCTGGGGGATGTAATAATGAAATACTGAATGGTTTAGTTTATATAAGATATGTGGGGATTTATGTTTTGCAAATTGAACCATGGAAGGAGAAGAAGGGAAGTAGCTGATATTTTAAGGTTGTTCAGATGAATATTCTAAAATGTAAAATAGAAAAACAATAAACATTATATAATTTCTCTCTCTCTCTCATGATGCTGTAATGTTTGTGCGCTTCGTTCTGCCAAAATTTCAGAGGGAGGACATTGCCAATTCCAACAAGCTCTCCCACTTTCTTGAGATTCTATTTGTATCTTGAGGCTCCCCCCCAACCCTACACTTGTTATTGTTGTAAAGCTTGTTATTATTATTACAAGCAGCCCCCCCTTTAGTCTGCCCCATTCCGCCTCTTCCCATGACATTTTCATGCTGCTTCCTGGTTCTTGACACTGAACATGTTCCTGGTTCTGTGTCCCTGGGAGGTTTGCCTGTTCCTCTGCTCCATTTATTACCCAGGACAAGTTACATCAGTGGTAAAATTCCATATTAAAAAGAGTTAAAACAAATGACAGCCACAGGAATAGGATGGGTCTGGATTGTCTTGGGTGTCGGAGGCCTTGGTCAAGAGGGGAAGGAGCCAGACACGCCTCTGGGGAGGGAATTTCCCAACCTGGGAACCGCCCCCAGGATGCCCTCTCTTGGGCCACACCACACTCCAAACTCTGAGGGTGTTGAAATGACCAAGAGGGGCCCCTCTGCCACCCTCCCCCCAAGAGGGTCAGTAGGGAAGGATAGTGAATCCTTCATGTGAGCACCTGGAATTGAGCCTCGCGTCAAAATTGCACCCCATACAAATTACTTGCCTGCCAATCTCAGTTTGACGCCATTCATTCATTGATAACACTGAAAGGAAGGCACAAGTAGGCTGATTCAATTGGAAGAAATCTCTTCTGTTACCTGCACATTTTGCATAGTAACTTTCCTTCCAAGAGCTAGAAACTTACATCTTCCCTTTTTTTTGCAGGAGAAAGCTCAGAGTCTGGGATGCGGAGTCCAGCCTGTTTCCTAGCAAGACTCCTCCATTCTTCTTCAGGGAACCTATTTATTCTCCAGACCGTGTATGAATTTTATTATGGTACAATGTATTTCCTTTTGTAGAATTTGCTAGCAGCTCTACTTAGGACAGACAGAACTTGGCAGAAGACCAAAGGATTCCTTCCGATCTCTTGGGGTATTCCTGAAAGCCCAGATGGATGAGCAAGACTCAGCCGGCCCTGAAGCAGGAAGAGGCCATGCCATCAAAACTGGGAGCAGTGAGGGATTCTGGGAAACCTCCATGCAGAAGATCCTGGGTGAGGAGGACATTCTCTGCTCAGATGTGCAGAGCCAGCAGCTCAGTCAGTTCTGCTACCAGGAGGCTGAAGGACCCCGAGAGCTTTGCAACCGACTCTACCACCTTGACCGTCAGTGGCTAAAGTCAGAAAGTCACACGAAAGCTCAGATGCTGGATCTTGTGATCTTGGAGCAGTTCCTGGCTGTCCTTCCGCCAGAGCTGGAGAGCTGGGTGAGGGAGTGTGGAGCGGAGACCAGTTCCCAGGCGGTGGCCCTGGCCGAAGGTTTCCTCCTGAGTCAGGCAGAGGAGAGGAAGCAGGCAGAGCAGCAGGTGAGAGAGACTTTCCCCTGGATAATCCTAAGGGGGTCTGAACTGGAGGGAGAGTACCCCCTAATTTTCTAATAATGGCGTATCCTTTTTTTGGAAAGCATTCAAGGAAGTTTAGGGTTAGGGTTTACATCTGCCTTTTTTCTAATTCTCCCCATTCTCTGTTTTTAAACCTTGCTCTTTCAGGGAAAGGGTCCGTTTGCAGAAATGGCCTTAGATTCTTCTGAGGTAGAGAGGACTCCGTTGGACACCAGAGAGAGGCCTCTGGGTAAGGAGGAATATGTCTGGAGGCGGTTGGAGGATGGATGGTGGCTAACGGATTAAGGTTGAATCCTGACAAGATAGAAGTACTGTTTTGGGGGGACGGGGTGGGCAGGTGTAGTCCTGAATGGGGAAACTGTGCCTCTGAAGGACCAAGTGCGCAGCCTGGGAGTCATTTTGGATTCACAGCCGTCCATGGAGACAGAGGTCCATTCTGTGTCCCGGGCAGCTGTCTGCCAGCTCCATCTGGTACACAGGATGAGACCCTCCCTGCCTGCAGACTGACTCTCCAGAATAGAAGAGAAGAAGAAGAGTTTGGATTTGATATCCCGCTTTATCACGGCCCGAAGGAGTCTCAAAGCGGCTAAAATTCTCCTTTCCCTTCCTCCCCCACAACAAACACTCTGTGAGGTGAGTAGGGCTGAGAGACTTCAGAGAAGTGTGACTGGCCCAAGGTCACCCAGCAGCTGCAGGTGGAGGAGCGGAGACGCGAACCCGGTTCCCCAGATTACGAGACTACCGCTCTTAACCACTATACCACACTGGCTCCACACCACACCACATGCAGAGTGGTGCATGCTCTGGTTATCTCTTGCTTGGACTACTGCCATGCGCTCTACATGGGGCTACTTTTGAAGGTGACCCGGAAACTATTGCAAAGTATTGGAAGACACAAGATCTACCCACCCTGGAAGAATGGCAGATGAAGATGATGGACTATATGGAACTGGCAGAAATGACTGACAGAATCCGAGACCAGGGAGAAGAGTCGGTGGAAGAAGATTGGAAAAAGTTTAAAGACTATCTACAGAAATACTGTAAAATTAATGAATGTTAGAATGATGTTGGATAGAAACTAAGTGGTTTCCAGCTGTAATGTTATAAGGGAATATGAAAAAATAGACTATTAATAGGTAAAAATCTAATGTTCCAATATTTTAAGATTGAAGATTAGGATAAACAAAGAGGGGAGGGATTTGCTGAACTAACAAACTGAATTGGAATACAGAAAAGGGAGGTGTGAGGAGGTCTGGGAAATAAGCAAATGAATGATAAGTGATTGAAAAACTGAATTGTTTTTAACTATTTTTATTTTGTATTTTTCTTTTTTCTATTTTCTATTTTTGTAATATATTGAAAACCTTAATAAATATCTTTGGAAAAAAAAGAAGAAGAAGAAGGTGACCCCCAAACTACAATTACTCCAGAATGCAGCAGCTAGACTGGTGACAGGGAGTGGCTGCCAAGACCATATAACACTGGTCCTGAGACCTTCATTGGCTCCCAGTACATTTCCGCGCACAATTCAAAGTGTTGGTGCTGACCTTTAAAGCCCTAAACGGCCTCAAAGGCCCAGTATAGCTGAGGGAGCGTCTCCACCCCCATCGTTCTGCCCGGACACTGAGGTCCAGCTCTGAGGGCCTTCTGGCAGTTCCCTCCCTGCAAGCAGTGAAGCTACAGGGAACCAGGCAGAGGGCCTTCTCGGTAGTGGCATCCGCTCTGTGTAACACCCTCCCTTTAGATGTCAAGCAGATAACGAACTATACAGCTTTTAGAAGACATCTGAAGGCAGCCTTGTATCAGGAAGTTTTTAATGTTTGATGCTTTATTATGTTTTAAATATACTGTAAGCCACCCAGAGTGACTGGGGAAACCCAGTCAGATGGGCAGGGTATAAATAATACTACTAATATTATTGTTATTGCTATTATTATTATGTATTTTTACACAGCTTAAATACGAAATGGCTACAAACAGCCCCATGCATGCAGCAGGTGAGGCTTTTTCTATGGCCAAGCTGTAGTTAGAGATGCCCTTCTTCACTCATGGCTTCCTACTTACCTCCGTCAGGTGACACAAGGATGCTGGCAAGACTTCCTCATCCATCTTCTTATGCTGGTGGAGGGGAAGCAGCAGCTCTGGAACCAGATCAGGTAGGGAGAAGGATTGCTTCGGGCAAAGAGGCCGAGAGAGGGGGCAGCCAGGGTTCAACGAATCTCATTTGCTCATCTCTTGACTTCTGTCAAAACTGCCCTTAACAAAGGCTTAAAATGCCATTCCAGAAGGTTTATGTGCTGAGAACGATGAACGACCACCTCACGTTCACTAGCCTTCTGAATGTTGCTAGTGTTATTTATCAGTAGCTTCAGTTTTATTTATATCATTTAATGCTAAAAAAAGCTTCTAAGCAGTTGACAAACCATACGAAACAGTGGCCAGGATTCACCTAAGCAGCCCCATCGGTTACACAATGGAGCTTCCCCGCTTTCCTCTGTGCCCACATGTGCCCTTTGAAGTTGGCATTAGGGCATCAGGAAGGTTGTCCCCCGCCCAGAAAAGGGCACAGGGAGAGCAAAGAGGAGACCCCTCCGTTTGGCAAACTTGCACAGACAGAATGCTTTGAGGAACACCACGTGGAGTTTTACCCATTTACCCCAAGTTTAATACCCATTGTTAAAATATACAATAAGAGAATTCCATTGAGACGTTAAAATAAGCATCCATAATTAAAATGTACAGCAAAACAATCCCATTAAAACTACATAGCAGTTAACAGGCAGAAAACAGCAGAACGACATGTGGAAGATAATCTTTATGCTGTCTGACAGCAAGACATTTTTCTCTTCTTTTAGGGTCCGGTGTGCTTTGAAGATATAGCTGTTCATTTCACAGACGAGGAGTGGGCTTTGCTGGATCCTGACCAGAGAGCTCTGCATAAGGAAGTCATGGAGGAGAATCGTGGGATCCTGGACTCTCTCAGTAAGACTGCCCATTTGATCATAATATCTGTTTTGAAATGCGATACAGTCATACCTTGGGTTACAGCCACTTCAGGTTGCATTTTTTTGGGTTACGGACCGCCGAAACGTGGAAGTACCGGAATGGGTTACTTCCGGGTTTTGGAGGTTGCGCATGCGCAGAAGTGCTAAATCGCGCTTTACACAGAAGCGCCAAATCTCAACCCGCGCGTGCGCAGACACGAGTTGCGAACGTGCATTCCGCACGGATCACGTTCACAACCCGAGCCTCCACTGTACACATCTTTATGTGATTCTGACACCCCCATAGCTACCCTTGAATTATCTGTCTTCTTGAACTCTAAATAGGCTGGCCTGAACGGCCCTACACTTTTAAATGTAGGCTTCAGAGTTGTTAGGGAACTTGAAGTAGAGTCTGTCACATTTTTTGTTTTGGTTTATGCTTCTCACATTTTTGGTTGACCAATGAGATTACTGACATTTGAAATGGCACAAATTCTATGATTGGGCCAAGCAAAATCAATAAATATGTATTGCCAGTCAACAACAGTGAACCCTGGGGTAAGACCTTCAGTTTTTCCTCTATCACAAGTCTTCATGAGCAGTGTTCAATAATTTGGGACTGCATTTTTCCCTGAGGATATCTAATAAATTTCTCCCTTTGTTGCAGGTGGTGATGAATTGCTAATTAAGAACGAGGAAGAGCATGACGAAATCCAAATAGTGGAAAATCCATATATATATTCAGATTGCTGGGAGAGCTTCTTTCAGAGCTCCCATTCCACTTCCCTTCAAAATATTCCCATTGGGAATAAGCCATATCAATGCTTGGAATGTGGAAAAAGTTTTGGGCAGCGTGCCCACCTCAAAGGCCACCAGATTATTCATACTGGGGAGAAACCATATCAGTGCTTGGAATGCGGAAAGCGTTTTAGTCGGAGCACCCATCTCACTTCCCACCAAAGATTTCATACAGGAGAGAAACCGTACCAGTGCTTGCAATGTGGGAAAAGGTTCAGTCAGAGTGCCAATCTAACTTCCCACCTAAGATTTCATACTGGGGAGAAACCCTTTCAGTGCATAGAATGTGGAAAGAAGTTCAGTCGGACAGCCAATCTCATTTCCCATCAAAGAATCCATACGGGAGAGAAACCCTATGAGTGCTTGGAATGTGGAAAGAGCTTCAATGCGAGTTCCAGCCTCACGGTCCATCAAAGAATTCATACAGGGGAGAAACCATATCAGTGCTTGGAATGTGGAAAGTGCTTCAGTCACAGGCCTGGTCTCACGGTCCATCAAAGTATTCATACTGGGGAGAAACCTTATCTCTGCTCAGAATGTGGAAAGAGCTTCAGTAAGAGAGCCCATCTCACATCCCATGAAAGAATTCATACAGGGGAGAAACCGTATCTCTGCTCAGAATGTGGGAAAAGTTTCAGTCAGAGTTCCCATCTCAAGGGCCATCAAAGAATTCATACAGGGAAGAAACTGTATCAGTGCTTGGATTGTGGGAAGAGCTTCAGTCATAGTGCCAAACTCTCTTCCCACAAAATATTTCATATTGGGGAGAAACCATTTCAGTGCTTGGAATATGGAAAGAGCTTCATTGCAGGTTCTAATCTTAATGGAGACCACAACCAAATCCACACAGTGGAGAAACCATATCAGTATTTGGAGAGTTCAGAGATGTTCGATCAGAAGGAAAGTCTCTCTTCACCTCAAAGAATTCACAGCAGGGAGAAACCCTATCAGTGCTTGGAATGTGGAAAGAGCTTCACCCAAAAACTAAGCCTCATTTCCCATCAAATTATTCATACAGGGGAGGTACCATATCAGTGTCTGGAATGTGGAAAGAGCTTTAATACAATCACAAACTTCCGTCGACATAAATATATTCACAGTGAGGTAAAACCATATCAGTGTTTGGAATGTGGAAAGGGCTTCGGTCGGAAAGAAAGTCTCACTTCCCATCAAAGAATTCACACAGGGGAGAAACCCTATCAGTGCTTGAAATGTGGGAAAAGATTCAGTCAGAGTGCCCATCTCACTTCCCATGAAAGAACTCATACAGGGGAGAAACCCTATCAGTGCTTGAAATGCGGAAAGAGGTTCAGTCAGAGAACCCATCTCATTTCCCATCAAAGAACTCACATTGGGTAGAATCAAAGAATTGTAGAGTTGGAAGGGACCCAGTGCTATCTGGTCCAATTCACCTCTTACCGTCAGAACGTTTTCCCTCATTTTTAGTTGGAATCTGCTTTCTTGTAACCTGAATCCATTTGCTCATGTCCTACCCTCCAGAGCAGGAGAAAACAAGTTTGCTCTATCTTCTATGTGATAGCTTTTTAGATATTTGAGGATGCCTATCATCTCTTCTCTTTTTCAGTACATACCCAAATACCGTTACTGTTCCTCATCAGGCTTGGTTTCAAGAACCTTGATGATCTTGGTCACTCTCCTCAGAACACATTCCAACTTGTCAATATCCTTCTTAAATTGTGGTGCCCAGAACTGAACAGTGGAGTCCAGGTGTGGTCTGAGGAAGGCAGAATAGATTGGTCCTATTACTTCCCTTGATCGGGACACTAGACTTCTGTTGATGCAGCCTGGAATAGCATTAAGTGAATTTGCTGCTGCATCACTTTGTTGTCTCATGTTCAGCTTGTGGCAAGCCAGGATACCCCACCTTATATTTGTGCAACTGGTTCTTCTTGCCTAACCGCAGAACCTGACATTTGTCCTATTTGAAATCCATTTATTCAGCTTCATGGCCAAATTGGGATTTGAACCCAAGTCTCCCAGGGTTCCTGAAACCCTTATCACTATACCTAATCACTTGCTCTCTAGTAACACTCTTGGAAAACGTGCATGCTTGTGCATCTCCTTAATCTTTGTGTGCAGTGTTCTGGTGTTTTGTATTTAAAGTTGTATACACCTGTCTCAAAGTAATTAATGTAATAGTGGTAAGTAAGTAGAATGGTGGTTTTAAGGAAATTTTAGCTAGGGAGTGGAGGGGGGGTTAGGAATGCTAAAGTGGGAGATTATTGGCTCTGAGTTTGAAAGCACCAAACTGAGCAGTTTTCACATAAATCACAAGATCTAAGATAAAGATTCGGTTCGGAAACTTCAGCTGGTGCAGAATTCAGCGGCCAGGTTGCTCACCAGAGCAAGATGGTCTGAGCATATTACACTGGTCCGACTGCACTGGCTATCGATTAGTGTCCAGGCCCAATTCAAAGTGTTAGTTTTGAGCTATAAAGCCGTAAATGGCTCAGGACCGTAATACCTCAAGGACTGACTTTTTCCATATGAACCCACCCAGACCCTGAGATCATCTTCTGAGTCCCTCCTTCGTGTGCCTCCTGCTTGAGAGGTCTGGAGGGTGGCGACACAAGAATGGGGCCTTCTCTGCAGTGGCTCCCCGTCTGTGGAATGCTCTCCTCAGGGAATTATACACCTTTAGGTGCCAGGCAAAAGTGGTCCTTTTTAACCAAGGCCTTTGGTTAACATCCACTACCCTTTTAAAATGTAGCTCTTTTTGGGGGGAGTATTATTAGATTATTGCTTTTATTTTTATTTTATATACTGTGATCTTTTTATGTGAACCGCCCAGAGACCTCTGGGTATAGGGCGGTATATAAATTCAATAAATAGTAAAATAATAAAGATAATAAAGATACAAAAAACTCGAGAGCGACAACCCCTCACCCAAAAAGCCCCAGAGACTGTTCAACAGGCTCAGCCATTGCAGCTGGAGTCAGTCCATCAGTCCTCCCAGGCCAGGTGGGAAAAGGCCTGCAGGGCAGGGAGCAGCTCTCCTGAGATGGTCTATAGTCGCTTCAGTAGAGACAGGTGGAGAGTGAAAGTAGTGGTTGTTTTGAAGCAGTGTTGCATTGGGTAGATTAGCAGTAAAGGAACAGCCTTATAATACCCCTTGTTAGGGATGCGGGTGGCGCTGTGGTCTAAACCACAGAGCCTAGGACTTGCCGATCAGAAGGTCGGCGGTTCTAATCCCTGCGACGGGGTGAGCTCCCATTGCTCGGTCCCTGCTCCTGCCAACCTAGCAATTCGAAAGCACGTCAAAGTGCAAGTAGATAAATAGGTCCCACTCCGGCGGGAAGATAAACGGCGTTTCCGTGCGCTGCTCTGGTTCGCCAGAAGTGGCTTAGTCATGCTGGCCACATGACCCGGAAGCTGTCTGCGAACAAACGCCGGCTCCCTTGGCCTATAGAGCGAGATGAGCGCCGCAACCTCAGAATTGTCCACGACTGTCAGGGGTCCCTTTACCTTTACCCCTTGTTACAGTTGGGGGAAGAGGTGGGGTCTTCGTGATTTGTTTCCTGTTCTTGTTTTTATCATCATGCACTTGGTGTTTTTATATTGTATATTTATGTTGTGTATCGCCCTGAGATCTGCGGGGGAAGGGCGGTGTACAAATATAATAAAATAAATAAATAAACTATTAAAATAAAAAAAAGAAACAGGAACATTTGAAAGCATGCATTTATGTACACAAAGTTACCTGGGAACCCTTGTTATCTATCTATCTGTCTATCATCTATCTATCTATGAGTTGCATTCCACTGCACACCACCTCCTTTGCTATGTTAGGGGTGAAGTGTTCAGATAAGAGTTCTCTGTGATGACAGACAGAATAAAGGGGGTGTTTGGTGAAAAACCCAGTAAAGACTCGGGTCAAAGCTGTGCACCTTGGCTCAAGTGGGAAGGGGGCGCAGGCGTGGGGGGCAGTGCCGGAGCAAATCTGAACAGGGAGAAACACCAATTCATGGAACAAACCCCATGGATTACTGTTTTGGACACACCAAGTGGAATGGAAGAAGCGAAAATCAAAGGAATGGTATTTCTAAGTTAGTATGATACATCTTGGCCTACAGGAATGGGTTCAGAAGCTATGGAACTGGGTACAAATTAATGAATATTCAACAAAAAATAAATGGGCTAAAACTATTTTGAAGTATGAAGATACGTTACTCTTAAGGGGCTCCAAGAAATCACATTGTGGACTCATGTTCAGCTTGTGGTCTCCCAAGACCCCTAGATCCTTTTCACATGTGCTGTTGCCAAGGCAGGTTCCCCCTGTCTTATATTGGTGCAGCTGGTTCTTCCTGCCTAAGTGCAGAATCTGACATGCATCCCTACTGAAATTCATTTATTGCAGTTATGTACCACTTTTTTCTCCAAGGAGCTCGAGGTGGGGCTACGTGGCTCTCCCCCTCCTCATTTAATCTGACACTAACCCTGTGAGGTAGGTTAGGCTGTGAAGCTCAGGTACATATACACATTCGAAGGAGGCTTTGTCACAACAGACATTGGTCTTTGACTATTGGAAGAAAAAGAATGTGCAAATATTGACACTAAAATACATCACTTAACAGTGAAGCAAAACTGGAGCTGTGGTGGTGAGGATTGTGGTAGGTGAGGCTTTTATGGACTGGACCAATTAGGACTGCACTTTGCCATTCGTCCACGTTAACAGCTGCCCAGTGATGCTGCTATAAAAAGGAGATCTAATGGTTCATGACACAAGCCAAAATAAAACAAGAACTCATTAGTAACTCAAATACAGTATTAGTAGTAAAATAAACGTAACATTTCAGTTGTATATTCTACTGTGTTTGTATTGACCCTTCGCTGTAGTGCAGCGTTTCTCAAACTTGGGTCTCCAGCTGGTTTTGGACTACAACTCCCATCATCCCCAGTGGCTGATGGGAATTGTAGTACAAAAACAGCTGGGAAACCCTGCTCCAGGACTTGATATGTGGATAATGCCCCTTTCATTGGGACGGAAGCAGCTATTAGTACTGCATCCGTAGAAACAGCCTCCATGAACTGCAAAACAGACTCTGAGAGTGCCCAGAGGGAGTGCAAACAGGGGAGACAACTCTGCTCCACACAATACACTTGCCCCACAATCGGAGATATCTGTGATAAAAGAGGGCAAACCTGCCTGCTCCCATAACAGAGACAGATCTCATCCCAGACAGGCCTCTATTTTGGCATGGTTGGCTCAGACCCCATCCAGGTATATTTAGAGCAGTTTAAGGCTGTAATCCAAAACTGTTATTCTACACTTGGTCCCATTGCTCAGAGGAATTTGCTTCTGGGCAGAAATGCTTAGGACTGTGATGTAAACTCAACCATTGATCAAGATGCCTATCATCATCATGGCAAGGTACGACTTTTGCATATTGTGTGAACACCTTTGTCCTGTCTTCTTCAAGGATGAAGAATCTCTTGCCCCAAAGGAGGAGGGCTTTCCACTCTTTAAAAGCCCACTGCTGTTCTGCAAGGTGCTTTAGGTTGCAGTCCCATAAACACTTAAGACCTGTTGCCCTTAGTGGGGCTTACTTCCAGGGAGACAGGAATTGTACAACTAGTGTTAAGAGGAGGGCTGGATTGAGGTTTGATGAGGCCCTAAGCTACTGAAGGGACGCAGGTGGCGCTGTGGGTTAAACTGAAGGGACGTGGGTGGCGCTGTGGGTTAAACCACAGAGCCTAGGACTTGCCGATCAGAAGGTTGGTGGTTCGAATCCCCGAGACGGGGTGAGCTCCCGTTGCTCGGTCCCTGCTCCTGCCCACCTAGCAGTTCGAAAGCACATCAAAGTGCAACTAGATAACTAGGTACCGCTCCGGCGGGAAGGTAAACGGCGTTTCCGTGCGCTGCTCTGGTTCGCCAGAAGTGGCTTAGTCCTGCTGGCCACATGACCCAGAAGCTGTACGCCGGCTCCCTCGGCCAGTAAAGCAAGATGAGTGCCCTAACCCCAGAGTCGGCCACAACTGGACCTAATGGTCAGGGGTCCCTTTACCTTTAAGCTACTGAAGGTACTTTCTATGTCCAGCTGTCCTTTTGCCAACAACAAATTGTTGCTGTTTTTTGTGTTGATCTGCTATATGGTCTCCACAGTCACTTATGGACTCATTGTTAAAACCCTGTTTATGGAGGAAAATCTTACTCGGCTACGAGGGATCGCCAAAAAGAAGAAGAAGGAGGTATCTGAAGCCATTTGCACATAACAAATTGGAGCCTACACAACACAAAACACGGTTGCTGTATGGAGGATTTATTTTATTTGTTTTTTGTCTTATATTTTGGAAGTGTACATTCAGGTTATTTTTTCCTTTAACATTTTTTGGGGGCCCCCAAGAGAGTGGGGCCCTAAGCTCTCAACTGAGGAGGCTTAACCAACCGCTTCTGCTATAGAGCACCTCCTTGAAGCGGCTCTATTCTCCCCCCACCCCCGGTGTTTTACACTGAAGGGCCGCCGCCATGACACGAGAGGCAGAGCCAGGCGGAGGCGGAAGGCGCTCCGCGTCCCTCAGGAAAGGCGTCCCCCTGGGCGGCAGGGCCCGCGCGCGAAGGTTCCGCCTCCGGCGCTTGAGAAACAGAGAGGGGCGGGGGAGCGAGCGAGGGCCTGGCCTGGCCGGGGCTGGACTAGATGGCCTGGCGGGGTCCCGGCTCGACTATTTCTCTGAGTCTGGCGGTGGTGGGCTCTCCTCCCCTGGAGGTTAGTAAGCAGAGGCACGGGGGACGCGTCTGCAGGGGATGCTCCTTGCACGAAGGGGTTGGACTAGATGACTCCTGGGGGTCCCTTCCCGAGAAGAGGTTTCGCAGCCAGGTGTCTCTGGCATTTTGGATTCTAGGAAGGCGACTCCTGCTTCTTGCAGAGCCTTTTCCCTGCCAGCTGCTCCTCCCGTTCGTGGCCAAGGGAGGGGGCAGCTCAGAGCCCGGCCAGGACAGCCCCCCCCCCATGAAGCCCCTCCTCCGGCTGTGCGCGATGCCCGGGGCTCCTCCGGGACTCCTGCTTTCCAGAGGGACGGGGCGAGGGGTGAGCTTGCTCCGCTCGCCTTTGCAAGGGTCAAAAGGAGCTGAGCCGGATTACTCAAGGGGGGAGGAAATAAAGAGGGGGCAGGTCCCCCCCCCCAGAGCTAAACCCCTCCCTCCAGCCCCCCCCCCTTGCATAGGGAGAGGGGTGGCTTTGATCTCTCTCTGCAAATGCTGCCTCGGGGCCTCCTCTTGGGATCTGGTGAGTCTCCCCTCTCTTCCCCCTGTGCGTGCATTGGGGAGAAGGGGGGTCCCGGGGCTGCAGGGGGAGGGGGCATGGGGGGCCTGTTCGGCTCATGCATGGAGGACCCACCAGATCAAGGAGCAGAGGGGCCACCCCCACTCCTTTCTCTCTGCAAAGCCAAGGAGAGGGCTGCCTGTCACTTGGGGGGGGGGGGCTGGGCTTTGGGTCAGGGGAAAAGTCGTGCAAATAAACCCAATTCACACTGATGCACAAGTCACATTTCTTACCAGAGGTGGTAGCCAGACATAAACATTCGGACATTAAATACACAATGAAAATGAAAACCTTATCTGTGCAGTAGATAAATAAGGAATGTTGGAAGGTGGAGGGCAGAGAAATAAAGTGTTTCTTCCTGCGTTGCAGAGTTAAAGCTTTGGAACTCCCTCCTGCAGGAGGCAGGTAAAGTCACCAACCTGGATGGCTTTAAAAGGAGGAGGTTGTTGTTGTTGTTTAGTCATGACGCCTTGGACCAGAGCACGCCAGGCCCTCCTGTCTTCCACTGCCTCCCGCAGTTTGGTCAAACTCATGCTGGTAGCTTCGAGAACACTGTCCCACCATCTCGTCCTCTGTCGTCTCCTTCTCCTTGGGCCCTCCATCTTTCCCAACATCAGGGTCTTTTCCAGGGAGTCTTCTCTTCTCATGAGGTGGCCAAAGTCTTGGAGCCTCAGCTTCAGGATCTGTCCTTCCAGTGAGCACTCAGGGCTGATTTCCTTCAGAATGGAGAGGTTGGATCTTCTTGCAGTCCATGGGACTCTCAAGAGTCTCCTCCAGCTCCATAATTCAAAAGCATCCATTCTTCGGCGATCAACCTTCTTGATGGTCCAGCTCTCACTTCCATACATCACTACTGGGAAAACCATAGCTTGAACTATACAGACCTTTGTTGGCAAGGTGATGTCTCTGCTTTCTAAGATGCTGTCCAGGTTTGTTAAGAGGAGGAGGAGGAGGCAAATTCATGGAGGAGGAGAGGGGAGCCACGCTGGGTCTACTCTGCCCCCCACAGTGGGCCCTTTGGCCTGATCCTGTGGAACTCATCTTCTGTTCTGATGCTGAGTTTGTCCCGATGCAATCCAGACTCCTGGCTAACCCATGTGCGCCCATTCAGACATGCAACCATTGCTCAGATACCCTGAGAATCTTTGGAGACTTAACAGAAAGCCGTACTGAGAACCCCGGGGGTCTCACCATCCAAGGAAAGGAAGCAAAGCTCAGCTGGGGGTGAAACAGGCAGCGCCCCCCTCTTCCACCAGCCCCCTTTGCCCAAGAGACAATTATCTGAGTTCCCTGGCAAGGAGGATGGATTGTTAAACCACTCTGGGGAGGGGGGGGGTGTCTCCTAGCAACTGCCAGCATCCATAACTGTGGTTCCCAGGTTACAGGTAGGTAGCCGTGTTGGTCTGCCGTTGTCGAAACAAAATAATAATAATAAAGTTCCTTCCAGTAGCACCTTAGAGACCAACTCAGTTTGTTCTTGGTATGAGCTTTTGTGTGCATGCACACTTCTTCAGATACACTGAAACAGACATCACCAGACCCTTATATATAGGGAGAGGGTGGGGAGGGTTTTTACAGTATCCCAGGGATACTGTGGAGGAAGCCATAGAATCAGTTGGAAGTGGTACTGAGGATCATCTAGTCCAACCCTCTGCAATGTCAGGAGCCCTTGTGGTTAATTAAGAGTAATAGTCATATTTCTCCCTATGTTACCAATGAAATTTTAAAAATGTTGGTCTTTGGTTGAATGTGGGAGCGGTGTTCAAAGTGAAGATAATTTCAATTTAGATCAACCACACTGAGCCAATTGCTTATGGAGTGGGTGGGTGTTTTCTTGCACTTTTATTTTCCTCCCCCCTACACTTTATTTTTTTATTGTTCCAGTTGTTATTTTTGTTACTCTTATTACTAAAACTACATTTATAACCCAGGGCTGGTTGCAACCATATTCAGTATTAAAAACACACGTCTCAGCAGTCGGATATTGTGGTAAAGAGGGGGAGGTGCCTGGCTGGCCTCTCTTGGGAGGGAATTCCCTCACTGAGGAACTCTTGGGTCACCCCCACCAAAAACTCTGAGGGTGGTGATGAAACTTCCAGGAGGACCCTATCTGCCAACCTGAACATCCAAGATGGTCTGTAGAGAAGGAGACAGTTCATCAGATATTTCGGGGCCTAAGTGAATCCTTGAATTGAGCCTGGAAATGAACTCCACCCCATACACATTACTCATTCGCCAGTCACAGTTCTGACTTCAGTCTTTAACTGAAACTATTGAAAGGCAAGAGCGACCAGGCTCATTCTTGGCACAGAAATCCCTTCAGTTGCCTGCACATTTTGCATGGTAACTTTCCTTCTAGGAGGGCTAGAGGCTTGCTTCTCCTTCTTGCCTGCTTGTTTGCTTGTTTCTTGAAGAAAGCTAAGAATCTGAGCTGTGAGGGGGTACAGGCCTTGTTCCCAGCAAGACTCAACCATGCTTGCTCAGGGGACATTTTTTCTTCTCCTGACAGTGTATGAATTTTATAACAGAACAATGTATTTGCTCTGTAGGATTTGGTAGCACCTCTCATGAGGACAAAAGGAACTTGTCAGAAGGCCAAGGGTTCCTTCCAATATCTTAGAGGTTTCCTGAGAGCCCAGATGGATGAGCAAGACTCCGCTGGCCCAGAAGCAGGAAGAGACCATGCCATCGAAACTGAGAGCAGTGAAGGATTCTGGGAAAGCTCCATGCAGAAGATCGTGAATGAGAAGGATACCCTCTGCTCAGATGTGCGGAACCAGCAGTTCAGGCAGTTCTGCTACCAAGAGGCCAATGGACCCAGAGAGGTTTGCAGCCGACTCCACCACTTTTGCCATCAGTGGCTGAAGCCAGAAAGGCACACGAAAGCTGAGATGCTGGATCTGGTGATCTTGGAGCAGTTCCTGGCTGTCCTTCCACTGGAGATGGAGATCTGGGTGAGAGAATGTGGAGCGGAGACCAGTTCCCAGGCGGTGGCCCTGGCCGAAGGATTCCTCCTGAGTCAGGCAGAGGAGAGGAAGCAGGCAGAGCAGCAGGTGAGAGAGACTGGATATTCCCCGGGGTCTCTTAAAAGGAGGGAGAGTATCCCCCAACACTGTAATAGTTTGCCCATCCTTTTTTGGAAAACTTCCAAGGAATGATGTCTGACGCCATTAGAAGAGTTTTGGATTTGATATCCCGCCTTTCACTCCCCTTCAGGAGTCTCAAAGCGGCTAACATTCTCCTTTCCCTTCCTCCCCCACCACAAACACTCTGTGAGGTGAGTGGGGCTGAGAGACTTCAGAGAAGCGTGACTGGCCCAAGGTCACCCACCAGCTGCATGTGGAGGAGCGGCGACGCGAACCCGGTTCCCCAGATTACGAGTCCACCGCTCTTAACCACTACACCACGCTGACTCTCATTAGAGTGTTTACATCTGCCATTCTTTTTCTAATTCTTCTCAAATCCTTTTTTCTCTTTCAGAGAAAGGATCCATTTGCAGAGATGCGCCTGGATTCCTCTGAGGCAAAGAGGACTTTGTTGGACACCAGAGAGATGCCCCCAGGTAGGAAGCAATGAGGTTTTTCTCTCTCTTTGGTCACATTCTGTGGATGTGAGAGGTCTTCACATCTTTTTGGAGAAAACATTTGTGACCTGGAATCCTAAGGAGGGGAGATGTCTTTTTACACAGCTAAACGATGAAATGGGTACAAATGTCCAAATGAAAGCAGCAAGTGAGAAGTGAGGCTTTTTCTAAGGCCCACCTGTAGCTAGGGATGCACAGCTTCACGTCTCGGAGAAGCATGCCCTCATGGCTTCCCATTTAACTTTGGCAGGTGACAGAAGGATGCTGACAAGACCTCCTCATCTGCCTTTCCATGGAGGTGGAGGAGAAGCTGTGGCTGTGGAACCAGATCAGGTAGCGGGAAGGAGCCTTGTGGGGAAGAGGCAGGTGGGTGGGGCAGCCAGACTGCTTTTCAGCCCAAAGGAATCTCCTCTCTTCCTCTTGACTTCTGTCAAAGCTGCCCTGAACAATGTCTGAGCATGTCAATCAAAGTTTATGTGTTGAGAATAAGGATCCTCACCTAGACTGGCCTTTAGAAGGTTGCTAGCATTATTTATCAGTAGCTTCAGTTTAATTTACATCTTTATCTCTTAATGCTAAAATCGGCTTATAAGCTGTTGGAAAACCATACAACAGAGTGGTGAGGATTCACCTAACAGCTCCACCAGCTGTACGGTGAAGCTATTTTCCCCTCTCACCCCCTTCCCTGTGCCCCCAGGTGCCCCTTGAAGTTGGCTTTAAGGCACCAGGAAGGTTCTGCCCCAGAACAGCGGACAGGGGGTCCTTCCATGGGGCAAACAGGAAGGCTTGCACAGATAAAATGATCTGAAGACCACCTTGTGGAGTTCCACTCTTTCCCAAAAGATTAATACCCATCATTAAAAGACACAATTAAATACATTAAAAGAATTTCACGTGTAATTAAAATATGCAGGAAAACAATCCCATTAAAACAACACAGCCACTGACAAGCAGTAAACAACAGAGCAGTGTGTAGTAGATAATCCTTTGCTGTCTAAGAGGAAGATGCTTTTTCCTTTTAGGGTCCAGTGTGCTTTGAAGATGTAGCTCTCCGTTTCACAGACGAGGAATGGGCGTTGCTGGATCCTGACCAGAGAGCCCTGCATAAGGAAGTCATGGAGGAAAATCGTGGGCTCATGGACTCGCTTGGTAAGGCTCCTGTTGGATGCTAATATCAGTTTTGGAATTCAGTACATACAGTATCTCTAAGTAACGAACCTCCAATATGTTGATGGGGCTCAGCCGGACCACATACAACATCTGGTATTCTAACACCTCCCCAAAGCACACCTTGAATGGAGAGCTAGCTAATGTTTTGTCTGTGAATGTTCTTCCTCCAATTATGCTTTTTTAAACAATGACCAGGCTGCTCTGAAATGACCGGACTGTCAAAATGTAGGCTTCGGAGTGCTAAGGGAAGTAGCTTCTGCCAGGATGTTTATTTGTCTTGTCTTATTGCTTCTGTCAGGTTTTTTATTACCAAAAAAGGCAGGCTTCCATGATAGGGCCAAACAAGAAAGAGCCAAGCTTTTCCAAACTCAGGTTACCAAAGATATGTCTGTTAATGCCAGTTAACAAAGGTAGCAAACCCTGTAGGAAGACCTCACAACTAATTCCGTTCAGTTCTTCCTCTATCACAAGCATTCATTAGCATCGTTCAGTAATTTGGGGCTGCGTTTCTTCCTAATTTGTTTCTCTCTTCATTGCAGGTGGTGATGAATTGGAAATTAGGAACAAGAGAGAACAGGACAAAATCCACACAGTAGAAAAACCATATCAATATTTGGAGTGTGGAGAGGGTTTCAGGCAGAGCTCCCATTCCTCTTCCCATCAGAGAGATCCCAATGGACAGAAACCCTATCAGTGCTTGGAATGTGGAAGGAGCTTCAGCCGGAACTCCAATCTCACCTCCCATCAAATAATTCATACAGGGGAGAAAGCATATCACTGCTTGGAATGTGGAAAGAGATTCACCCATAAGAAAAATCTCACTTGCCATCAAAGAATTCATACCGGGGAGAATCCATACCAGTGCTTGGAATGTGGAAAGAGTTTCATTCGGAGAGAAAGTCTGACATCCCATCAAAGAAATCATACAGGGGATAAACCGTATCAGTGCCTGGAATGTGGAAAGAGCTTCAACCAGAAGAAAAATCTCATTTCCCATCAAATAATTCATACAAGGGAGAAACCATATCAGTGTTTGGAATGTGGAAAGAGATTCCGTAAGAGCTGTCATCTCACACCCCATCAAAGAATTCATACTGGAGAAAAACCATATCAGTGCTTGGAATGTGGAAAGAGCTTCAGTCGGAAAGATAGTCTCAATTCCCACCGAAGAATTCATAGTGGGGAGGAACCATATCAGTGCATGGAATGTGGGAAAAGCTTCACCTGGAAGGAAAGTCTCAATTCCCACCAAAGACTTCATAGTGGGGAGGAACCATTTAAATGCTTGGAATGTGGAAACACTTTCAGTTGTAAGAGAAATCTCACTTTCCATCGAACAATTCATACAGGGGAGAAACCATATCAGTGCTTGGAATGTGGGAACACCTTCACCCAGAAGTTAAGTCTCATTTCCCACAATCTAATTCATACAGGGGAGAGACCGTATCAGTGCTTGGAGTGTGGAAAAAGTTTCAATAAGAGGGGCAATCTCACAGCTCATCAACGGATTCATACAAGGGGGAAACCATAGTAGTGCTTGGAAGTGCTTCAGTAAGCACCAGTCTCACTGCCCATCAAAGAACTCATAGTGCAGAGAAACCATCTATCAATGGCTGTGTATGAATTTAATTTTAGGAGACTTCAGTATGTGGATGAGCATTTCAATGGAGTCGACCCTCAGCGCCCAATATTTCTTCAAGTGCAAGTCGCTGTACGAGGTGTTGAATACCTTTTCCACGTCACATCTGGGGAGACGGTTAATGGCGATTTGGCAACATTGACGAGGTAGCCATCAATGCTCATCTCTTCTCTGAAGACGTTGACAAGTGATTCGTACTTCAAGAACCTCCAAGTTTCAAATTTGTGCTGCTGCTGACTGCAACTGTGGCCCTTTGCATGTCCAGGATGGTGTCATCATAAGGCTCTTCCTGGTATCTGCTGAGGACACACAGAAAATAAGGACACAGTCCAGGAGGAAGAAGCAAAACCATTGCATAACAGTTCCACCAGCTCCCATCCCTCCTAGACAGTCCAGAACGATGCTGTGGCCAACAGTATCAAAAACTGCTGAGAGATCCAGCAGAACCAGGAAACAGCTTTCACCTCTGTCTGTAGTCTGCCGGAGATCATTGGCCAGCACGACCAAGGCTGTTTCAGTCCCATGATGGGGCCTGAAGCCCCATTGGAAAGGGATCCAAATGGTTTCTCTCGCACCACATGAAAACCCTCTTGAATGAAGAAGGGATAACACACGAGGAGTTTTAGCCACACCTTGAAGCAAAGCTCAGTCACTGAGAGAGATTTTAAATCTCTTCTAGAATCATAGAATCATAGAGTTGGAAGAGGCCACAAGGGCCATCGAGTCCAACCCCCTGCCAAGCAGGAAACACCATCAGAGCACTCCTGACATATGGTTGTCAAGCCTCTGCTTAAAGACCTCCAAAGAAGGAGACTCCACCACACTCCTTGGCAGCAAATTCCACTGTCAAACAGCTCTTACTGTCAGGAAGTTCTTCCTAATGTTTAGGTGGAATCTTCTTTCTTGTCGTTTGGATCCATTGCTCCGTGTCCGCTTCTCTGGAGCAGCAGAAAACAACCTTTCTCCCTCCTCTATGTGACATCCTTTTATATATTTGAACATGGCTATCATATCACTCCTTAACCTCCTCTTCTCCAGGCTAAACATGCCCAGCTCCCTTAGCCGTTCCTCATAAGGCATCGTTTCCAGGCCTTTGACCATTTTGGTTGCCCTCCTCTGGACACGTTCCAGTTTGTCAGTGTCCTTCTTGAACTGTGGTGCCCAGAACTGGACACAGTACTCCAGGTGAGGTCTGACCAGAGCAGAATACAGTGGCACTATTACTTCCCTTGATCTAGATGCTATACTCCTATTGATGCAGCCCAGTATTGCATTGGCTTTTTAGCTGCCACGTCACACTGTTGGCTCATGTCAAGTTTGTGGTCAACCAAGACTCCTAGATCCTTTTCACATGTACTGCTCTCAAGCCAGGTGTCTCCCATCTTGTATTTGTGCCTCTCATTTTTTTTGCCCAAGTGCAATACTTTACATTTCTCCCTGTTAAAATTCATCTTGTTTGTTTTGGCCCAGTTCTCTAATCTGTCAAGGTCGTTTTGAAGTGTGATCCTGTCCTCTTGGGTGTTAGCCACCCCTCCCAATTTGGTGTCATCTGCAAATTTGATCAGGATGCCCTTGAATCCATCATCCAGGTTGTTGATAAAGATGTTGAATAAGACCGGGCCCAAGACAGAACCCTGTGGCACCCCACTAGTCACTCTTCTCCAGGATGAAGAGGAACCATTGATGAGCACCCTTTGGGTTCGGTCAGTCAGCCAGTTACAAATCCACTGAGTGGTAGCATAGTCAAGACCGCATTTTACCAGCTTCTTTACAAGAATATCATGGGGCACCTTGTCAAATGCCTTGCTGAAATCAAGGTAGGCTACATCCACTGCGTTCCCTTCATCTACCAGGCTTGTAATTCTGTCAAAAACGAGATCAGGTTAGTCTGACATGACTTATTTTTCAGAAATCCATGCTGACTATTGGTGATCACAGCATTCCTTTCTAGGTGCTCACAGACTGTTTGCTTAATGATCTGCTCCAGAATCTTCCCTGGTATTGATGTCAGACTGACTGGGCGGTAATTATTTGGGTCCTCTCTTTCCCCTTTTTGAAAATAGGGACAACATTTGCCCTCCTCCAGTCTGCCGGGACTTCGCCTGTTCTCCAGGAATTCTCAAAGATGACTGCCAGTGGTTCTGAGATCACATCTGCCAGTTCTTTAAATACTCTTGGATGCAGTTCATCTGGCCCTGGAGACTTGAATACATCTAAACTAGCCAAGTATTCTTGTACTATCTCCTTAGTTATTCTGGGCTGTGTTTCCTTTGCTGAATCATTTGCTCCAAATTCTTCAGGTCGGGCATTGTTTTCTTTATCGGAGAAGACTGAGGCAAAGAAGGCATTGAGGAGTTCAGCCCTTTCTGTGTCCCCTGTTTGCATTTCACCATCTTCTCCTCTGAGTGACCGCACTGTTTCTTTGTTCTTCCTTTTGCTACGAACATACCCATAAAAACCTTTTTTGTTGCTTTTAACCTCTCTAGCAAGCCTGAGTTCATCCTGTGCTTTAGCTTTTCTGACTTTGTGTCTACACGTGCTGGCTATTTGTTTGAATTCCTCTTTGGTGGTTTCCCCCTTTTCCATTTTTGTACACATCCTTTTTAATCTTAACTCAGTTAAAAGTTCTTTAGATAGCCACCCTGGCTTCTTTAGGCACCTTCCATGTTTCCGTCTCATTGGTATTGCCTGACGTTGTGCTTTTACTATTTCCCTCTTAACAAACTCCCAGCCATCATGAACTCCCTTTCCTTTTAGTATTACTGTCCATGGGATCTCACCCAGCACTTCCCTAAGTTTTATGAAGTCGGCTTTCTTAAAGTCAAGAAATTGAGTCCTAGTATGCTTGGCTGCTCCTTTCCGCTGTATAGTAAACTTCAGAAGAGCATGATCACTCGCGCCTAATGATCCTTCCACTTCTACCCCACTAACCAGGTCATCAACATTGGTTAGGACCAGATCTAAAATGGCTGTTCCTCTTGTTGCTTCTCCCACTTTCTGGACAATGAAGTTGTCTGCAAGGCCAGTGAGGAATCTGTTTGACCTTATGCTCTTGGCTGAGTTTGACATCCAACAAATATCCGGGTAATTGAAGTCCCCCATTACTACTATCTCCCTTCCTTTTGCATGCTTGGCCATTTGTTCCAGGAAGGCATCATCTATGTCCTCCGTTTGGCTTGGGGATCTATAGTAAACTCCCACAATGAGGTCACTGTTATTCTTCTCTCCACTGTTATTCTTCTCTCCCTTCTAGAAATGGCTAGGTTCGTGTTGAGTGACTCTGGCCTTCCCAAATACGTATGGGGAGAAGGGTGTCTCCAAAATAGACTACTAATCCAGGGAGCTACACGAATGGCTTTGAAACTTAGACATGGAAGAGCACCTAACACGTCACACATTCATGTATTTGGTGGTCTTGCCTATGTCTGTGTACCCAAGGAAAGTAGGCACAAGTTAGATTCCAGGGCAGAAGAGACTGTGGCGACTGGCTGTGCTTCGGGGAGCAAAAATTTAGGGAAAGGCAGCACGAGGCATGAGGTTTATTTTGATCATGGGTAGGCATACTAAGGCCTGGTGGCTGGATCCGGCCCAATCACCTTCTAAAGTGATTCTAAAGTGAACGTCTGTGGACGTTCTGGGAATCAGCGTATTTTTAGATGAGAAGAATGTGTGCTTTTATTTAAAATGCATCTCTGGGTTATTTGTGGGACATAGGGATTCGTTCCTTCTTTTCCCCCTCTTCAAAATATAGTCCAGCCCCCGACAAGGTCTGAGGCACGGTGGACCGGCCCCCTGCTGAAAAAGTTTGCTGACCCCTGATTTTGATGAACACAGGAAGACAGACAAGAAGAACTGTGATAGAATTTTACGAGGAGTCAGGGATTAAGGTTAGGGGCGTAGGATTAGATGGCTGAGGGGTAGGGGTTGCAGTTAGTGTTACATTAGGGGTTAGGGGTTAAAGCAGGGGTTGTCAACCTCGTCCCTACCGCCCACTAGTGGGCGTTTCAGGATTCCAGGTGGGCAGTTGGGGGTTCTACGGCACAAGCTGAATCCTCCTTCCACAGAGCACTGGTGGGCGGTAAGGAAATTTTACCATCAAGAAAGATGCATTAGTGGGCGGTAGGTATAAAAAGGTTGACTACCCCTGGGTTAAAGTCACCATTAGTGTGTGTGGTTAGGGGTTTGTGTTGGGGTTTTGGTTAGAGGGGTTGCAATCAGGGGTTAGGGATTAAGGTTCAGGGTAGGGTGTGGGGTTAGGGGCCGTTGGCTTTAGGGTCAGGGGATAATTGTACAGGGTTTGGCGTCAAGTTTAGGATTAGAGCTTGAGGGTTGGGTTACAGTTAGGGGTTAATGTTCAGGTTCCGGCTTATGGTTAGGGATTTAGGGTTAGGTTTGAGTTAGGTTGTTAGGGTGGGTGGGGTTAAAGGTAGGGGAAGCTGGAAGCAAGGAATCGGGCTGGACAGAGAAATGCTTGATTTGTTTGAATACAAGGCTGCGACTATGGGGCAAGCAAGAACTTCTTGGGGTGTTGATGCTGTGATCTCCTCCATCGCAGGGTCAGGTTTTAGGTATGTGTAAATAAACCATATATCCTAATGACACCACAGTCTCTGCCGTCCCTCATTCCAAGGAAACACAAACCCTGGGTTTGTGAAGAGTGGCATATAGAGCTGACACAGCATCAGAGGAAAAACTGAGTTAAGCAGCTCTGTGACTGTAGGGCTAAGTATCCCCATTTGTTTGTTGCATCCACTGAAGTTCTAACAAAGTGAAAGCATTGTGTGCTAGGAGCTAAATCCAGTATATAAAAAAAATTAAGCCTCAGAACTCAATCCTAGGGGCAATAACGCTTTAGAAACTTAAGTTTTCAGCTCTGCCCCAGCAGGAATATCTTGAGGAGCAAGAAGCTTAGATGAGATCCCAATTTTAGAGAGGCGGGTATAAAAAAAGAGAAATCCATTGATCTATGGTTTCATGTGGCACAGACCAAGTTCGCAGGAGAGCCATCTCAGAATCAACAACGTAGGTGTATCTCAATGCAAGCTGCAGTTTTTTGATAGGGGAAGGAAGAGTGGCATATACGCTATGGATTCAGCTGTAAGTTTCGTTCTTCAGTTTAAAACCAGTTAGAACTAGTTCAGCTTTTCAAAACCAGACTGTAAATTAATCAGCAATTAACCAAGAACCACATTCCTCTCTGCTGTCTGCTCAAAATGTAGGACTTGGAACAAGCTATCATTCCCCTGACCAAAGAGATACTGATTTGGAGAATGAAATCAAGGAAACAGCCAAAAGCGGAAGGGATGCCAGAATCAACAACACTTTATTACAGCCATAGACCAGCATAGTCAGAATCAGCGACTTCCGATTAGCCACACATATACTGGCTCCATGTGTGGTTTTTTTTAAAGGTATTGTTATTGATTATTTTTTTTACACAAAATACAATAAAAATCAGACTAGTCTACAGAACAAGAATAAAAAACCAACAAACAGGAACATGTACAGAGGAGGGCAAGCGTATGGAAACCAAGTCCTATGACGAATGGTTGAGGGATATCTTTAGCTTGGAAAAGAGGAGAGAGAGAGGAGATAGAATAGCCATCTAAAAATGGCTTACCACTGTGTGGTAAGAATTCACTTCTACACCACCTTGTTTGTTACCCAAGTGAAGAGCAACCACCTCTTGAATAAACCATAGAACCAAGGAAACTATTTTTCACCTCCACCATCTGGATTTAGGGACCCAGCGTTTATTATAGCTATTGCAATAGGACAGAGCTCACTCAACTCAGTGTGCCAGTTGAGAAGGTCTGCCCCAAGGCACTTCAGAATGAAAGGATAGGGTGCACCTCCACAGGCACATACCTGCACATGTGGTGGGAGTGCCCCAAAATCCAACTATTCTGGACAACCATACAAGAAATAAGTAAAATAACCAAACAAGTATTAGAAATCACCCCAGAATTGGCCCTACTAAACATCTTCCAAGACAACAATGCCCACTTACACTACAAAGAACTCATAACCCACCTGCTCTCAGCAGCCAGAAACATCGTAACCAGACACTGGAGAGACCTGTCAGGAGTAAGCATGGACCAATGGTACCAAATAGTATGGGAAACAGCCTTACTAGAAAAAATTGCCAATAAACTGAAACTGACATGGAGACAAATAGAAGACGACGCCT